TTCATTTCTCTTCCATCTCTATTATTTTATGTGTTAAGCTTACATGACTTGGAAGTCATAAGTTGTTTTCTGAAGCTGATTTGTTACCCAGTACTGATAAGCCCTTAGCCAAATCATTTAGCATCTCTGAATCTCATAGGTAAAATTTGAGTTATTGACAGATTAAACATGCCCTAAATCAACAATGGTTTATAAATCAGCAAGACAAACACAATGCCATTCTTTTTTCCCTGGTGTAGTATCTGGAACATGGTTGTTTGGAAACTAAATAAAAAATGAATGGATACATGGATTAATGAATGAATTAGCCCTAGAATATTGGTGTCTCCTTGAAAGCAAGAGCACATTTTTATTCATGGTTCTCAAGCATGCTTTTCAAACCAGCAGCCTCAGCATTATCCTGAAGTTTGTTTGAATTACGAATTCTCAGGCTCCACCCTGGAGACTGGGAGTTAAGGCCCAGGAATCTTGTTTTATGAAACCCTCCAATATTTGATTCTGATTTAAGAATCTCTAACATAGGTTGCTTTTCAAAAAAGCACTGATTTTTTAAAAATCACTGATACTTAGCTTCAAAAAAGCACTGATACTTAGTAAATACTGATTAGAGTTTGAGGAGCTCATTGATAATGTAGTTGCTGGGCAGTCTATGCACATTTGAGGAGAGTTTTTCTGAAATTAACACCTAATGCCAAGTTTGCAAATTGCACTCTTTGCCATGTGTCATACAAAGTGTTGATGTTTATTTTAATTGGTGCATGTGATTGGTTGTCCGTACTTGAACAGTTAGCCTTTGCATATCTTTACAAAAAGAACATAGATCTCTAACAATTTTGCCCTCATTTCTGCATGGCAAGATATGCTGGATGCTGCACCATCACCACATTACTCACCCACTACAGAGACTAAGTATTAGTTTATTATCTTGCTTAAATTGTTGTTTTTCTTAATCCCAAGCTGTTTCATAAATTGTCTATGAGGGGTGCCAGGGTGGTTCAGTTGATTGAGCGTCTGACTCTTGATTTTGGCTCAGGTCATGATCTCACAGTCGGGGGATAGAGCCCTCTGTTGGGCTCTGCACTGAGCATGGAGCCTGCTTATGATTCTCTCTCTCTCTCTCTCTCTCTCTCTCTCTCTCTCTCCGCCCATTGCCCCTCTCCTCCACTTGCACTCTCTCTCTCTTTTTAAAATAATAAACTGTGTATTAATGTATGGGTGATCCATTTTTCCAGTTGTCTAGGACAAACTCAGTTTATACCTTTGTCCCACATAATTATTCATAGCCTTACCTTTATCTTCAAAGTGTCTTGGTTTGGATGATAAATTATAGATCACCCTATTCAGAGGCATTTGCTTTTGCAACTCCAGACTCGTCATTCCTTCTCAAAGTTAACATTGAAGATTCTTTAACAAAAGACAAAGGTAAATGTGACACTAAGTGTGGGGAGGGAAAAGAAGACAGACTTAGAAACAGAACCCAAATCAAGAAGACAATTTCTTTAAAATATTATATTTTGCTTTAAAACCTATACAAAATTTTATTTCTACATCATAATATATTTTAAAATTAAAATAAATGACATTAAAGTGACAAATATAAGGACAAACCTGTCTGCAATCTATTTCAACCAGTTGAAACCCCATTATATTGGGAGATGACTCAGCACGTTGAGTCTATTTCAGAAATTCGGCTGAATATCAACCTGGAAAACAATGCATATCAGATTAAATCTTCCAACCAACTTAACTTCCATTTTGAGAATTCCAGCTTTTATAAAATTATTTGTAAAAATTTAAATTTTAATTTCTACTGGTTCGGTGATCATGACTAGACCTAAACATCAATGTCCAGAATTTGCCAAAGGTGTTGCATAATTGTTAGGTGGAGACAGCTCAAGGCATACTTTGATGTTACTGAAAAGTTATTCATGGGTCAGTTTTTACTTACTTTAGAAATATTCATAAAATTTTTATTCAGGACGGAGAGATTGTTGATGATAGCATTCTTTATTTTACATGACACTAAGTTGACTCTCCAGCTTCTCATATAGCTTCCACCATCAGTTTTCTTCCAAACTTCTAATTTAATTTGTTTTGCAGGAGTTTTCCCACACAAAACAAACAGAAATATTTAGGTTTGCATGATAGCAATGGATTGAGATTTTATTGTAAAAGAATAAAAGTTCAGGGGCACCTGGGTGGCTCAGTCATTTAGCATCTGACTTCAGCTCAGCTCACGATCTCACAGTTCGTGAGTTCGAGCCCTTCATCAGGCTCTGTGCTGACAGCTCAGAGCCTGGATCTTGCCTCAGATTCTGTGTCTCTCTCTCTCTCAAAATAATAAATAAACATTTTTTAAAAATTAAATAAAAAGCATGCTTTGTAAAGACGAATTAACTTATTATTTTGGAAAATTGTCCTTTCTTGAAATACTATTTTTGTGTGTGAAAATAAAAAACCAACAACTGATGATTCAACCCAAATAAACAGGCCTTACCAAATGAACATCAGTGTAGTATAGGATGTGCCAATGTTTTTGTCATTTATAGATCATATTGAGAAGCAGGACACACCATGGATATTGACGTGGTATGCATGTGGTTTTGATGAAAAGCTCCAACTCAGAGTTTGGTTCCAATACAAAATCTTCTCAATACTTCAGTCCATATGTACACACACACGTATTCACGTATACATTTTCATGAAAACAAACAAATAAGAATAACAAAAGCCTAATTATTATAGGGGAAGTTTATTCACCAGTACTCTTTTCTTTTCACTTGTCTGACACGACCAACTTAGCAAATTGACACACTTCTCTCTGCTGCCCCAACAGCATGGCGCCCGTCTATAGCATGGATCCTCACCATTCCTTATAATCCTATGGTGCATGAACTCATCTTATAAGATCATTTGAAAGTGGAATTCAAATAATACCTGAGCAACTTTCAATTTGTTCATTTAGAATTTGCTTTTTTTGTATTGATTCTACACCTGCGTTCTTTCTTTTAAGTTACAAAATATACAGGTGATGTTTTTCCCTTTAAGCTTCTTATGATTGCATTTTTATATGCTGCTGCTAGTATGGTTATATTAGGTGTTATTTACAGATTTTTCACAGAACAGATCCCAAGCTTTCAGCTCATCTGTATCTCTATAATAACTAACACTGAATTTTTAAGAAGCATGTTAATAATAATAAAGTTTTTGAAAAGATGCAGTCAATGGCTAGGATATATTTTAAGCATATTGTTTGTGCTAAGTAATTTAATAATAAGAACAGTGTGTACAGAAATTGGAACCCCTGTGCACTGTTGGTCGGAATGTAAAAAGGTGCAGGTGCTATTGAAAATAGCCTGGTAGCTCCTCAAAAAACTTTGAAATATGTATTACCATATGATACAGCAATTCTACTTCTGGGTATATATCAAAAAGAGTTGAAAGCAGAATCTCAAAGAAAAGTTTACACACCCATGTTCATACCAGCATTTTTCATAGTAAGCAAAGGACAAAAGCAGACTAAGTATCCATCAATGGATAACTTGATAAACAGTATGTGATATATACATACGATGGAATATTATTCAACACTAACAGGGAAGAGAATTATGACACATGCTATAATATAAATGAATTTTGAGTCAAGCCAATCACAAAAAGACAAATATTGTATGATTTCACTTTCATGAAGTGTCTATAGTAGTCAAATTCATAGAAATAGAATGAGTGATATCCTATCACTCAATTGTGATAGGCTGAAAATTACTGTGTCTAGATTGGTTTTTTTAAAGATCAATAGGGACTCCTGGGTGGCTCAGATGGTTGAAGTCCAACTTCGGCTCAGGTCATGATCTCACAGTCTGAGTTCGAGCCCCATATCAGGCTCTGTGTAGACAGCTCAGAGCCTGGAGCCTGCTTCAAATTCTGTGTCAGCCTCCTCTCTCTGCCCCTCTTCCCCTCACACTCTGTCTCTCTCTGTCTCTCAAAAATGAATAAACATAAATAAATAAATAAATAAATAAATAAATAAATAAATAAATATAAATAAATAAAAGATCAATCTTGGGGATCCTGAGTGGCTCAGTCGGTTGAGGTTCTTCTGACTTTTGATTTCATCTCAGGTCATGATCCCAGGCTCGTAGAATTGAGCCCCATGTCAGGGGCTCAGCATGGAGCCTGCTTAAAATTTTCTCCCTCTCTCCCGTTGTCCCTCCTCTGCTCTATCTATCTAAAAGAAAAAAATTGTAAAAAATTATAAAATGTCCTTAACAATCTGTAAGTAAAATGGAGGGTCTTAAAGAATGTGCTAGTTTCCTTCTAGGCTGTTTGATTTCCCAGACCTACATAGGTATAATCTCCAGGACAAGGGGTTGGCAGTTATAGCTGGATCTGTCTTGTTAAGCGCCTTTAGCTAAAGGATTGATTACAACAAGCAGACCATAAGCAAATCTTACAAGGTGATTGAGATAACAGGGGTAGAGAACAGGAGCCTATTTCTGGGGCAAAGTTTCTTCCCCTCCACACATAAGCTTCTTGTTTACTCTTTCTTTGTGTATAGTGACTCAGCATATAAATATAAAATGCTGAGAAGTTGTGGAAATGATTAGAGTGACAGCAATCATCAGTTCTACCCTGTTTCTGCTTCCTAAAATTATTTCATGTTTAGTAAATGTTTGTATATGTTTGCCCTTTCCGTGATATTGGAAACTTATGTTTCTTCTGGATGAAGCACACATGCACACACTCACACACACACACACACACACACACACACACACACACAACTTTTCATCATAACCAAAATTATTAGAAGACATTCTTAAAAGAGAAGCAACTGATGCTTCATATTTGCCCCGAGGCATTTCTCTCAGACCCTGTTAAACCCTTCACATCCAGGCAGTGTCGCCGTGCTAACTTCTGGTCACCACCCTGATCCATTTCCTTGTCCGCACTTCCTGGCTTTGCCAGCTGTTGAAACAGCAGTGCCTGCCTCTGTGTGTATCTGCGTGTAGTTCAGACTTTTTATATCTTAACTGCCTGTAAAGTCACTGACTACTACACGCAGATCCCATCCTGAACTTGCTGTTGTCCTGGCTTCAGAGGTGAGCCTCCCGCACCCGCCGTCCTCGGAGTGCCACCAACTCTCAGGGTTCTTTTCGGTCCCAGCACCACTGACTGAAAATAAACACTGCAAAAGGAGATTAAATTGTGAGGTAAAATTTGCTTTTTAAAATTTCTTTTCTTGACGTTTTTGTCCCGCAGCCACAGAGCATTGGGCTTCTTCAGTGATTTCAGCTTGGAACACATGTTTCCAATTTACATGCTTTTGCCTAATTCCAGTTTTCCCACGGGAAACTCAGTATTGTTGATGCTGTGCACAGTCTCTCGGGCTTTCCGTTATTCCATTTCTTTTTCTAGGTTCAGATGGACTTTTCTGAAGCATGCCAGGATCGGGGGTCTTCTTGTGAAACTGCACGCCTCATAAGGGAGTAAAGCTGGACTTTATTAAGTGAAACAAATGGAAGAAATATTGTTTTCTCATTAAAAGAACCGTTCAGTTTTAATGTCATATATTTCAGTTAGTTTCTCCTAAGAGGGGAGTTGTTTTTCATTTTTCTCTTTTTTACCATTGGTCTCTTTTTTTGAGAGAGAGAGGACACATGTGCGAGGAGGGGAGAAGGGCAGACGGGGAGAGAGAGAGAAAGATATGGAGGGGGGAATGTTAAGCAGGCTCCATGCTCAGCGCAGAGCCGGAGGCAGGGCTCTATCCCACGACCTTGGGATAGTGCCCTGAGCCGAAATCAACATTTGGCAGTTCAACCAGCCGAGCCCCCCCCCCCCCTCCCCGGGAGCCCCTACCATTGATCTTTATAAAAGCGAATCTAGACACTGTAATTTTCAGCCTGTTGCTCAAGTAGGGAGACCTGCCATGTCATGTAGACTATCGTATATAACCACATAAAATTGTTTGTCACTTTTTGGTAGGATTTAAAAGATTTTTATAAACTAATTTTTATAATTTTAAATATCATTCATAAACCATCTTCCAGGGAATCAGGCTCAGTGACATTAGTTATGTCTTGCCACCTTACCCCACTGCACCCATCTCCCTTTATAATTCTGAATTCATCATCCATGGGTCACAAAAAGGCAGTACAATTCAGGACTACTGCTCCTAGATTCCTCAACTGGTTACACCCACTTCCCAGATGTGACTAGTACCTATTCAGAATCAGCTGCTTTATGTCCTGTTACTCATATACATGCATCTCTGACATTTTTGCAGCATGAAAAGCTTAAGGTTTTGGTCAGAGACAAGTTTGCTCTGTTAAAGAAAAATTTCCTTACAAATGGTGAACACCCTTATTTGGATGAGATAACTCAAAGTCTGTTTCTCATTGCCACTAACCTGTGGTGTATCTTTGAACAGACTCTCTGAACCTGTTCCTGAATCTCATCCACCGAATGAAAGTAGGACTTATCATCGGGGTGGGTAGCACAGTCAATAAAATTTGCTTTCTACGAGACATGAATTCGTTTTGATAAAGCATTTATATCCATCCTATATTGTTAGAGAGTAGATTAAAAGTGGTTTAAAGTCATGCTTTCCACATTTTCTCGTGCATACAAATTACCTGGGGACGTTGTTAAATTAAAATTCTGATTCTAGATTGAGGCCCGAGATGCTACAGTTCTAATAAGCTCTTTGGTGATGCCAATAGTACATGGTGCTTGTATATGTACTGTATTTGAATAGTAATTGTGAATTAATTATATAAACATTTTTAAAAATAGTACAAATAAATCAAAATTAATAAATAAATGAAAAAGAATGAGTGAAGACATGAATGGACCCAGAAATGATGTTATAAATGTATAAAATAACATTAACCACCTATCAAGAAGGGAACAAATTTGTCCATATGATTTGTAGCAGACAGTAGAAAAAGGGAACTGTGTCCTCAATATTTGTTTGCTTTCCCACAATAATCTATATGCATAATAAGAGTTGGTAGTGGAGTTGTATTGCTACTAAATTTTAAGAAGTAAAAGAGAGCCTTACTTACTTTCCTCAATTAATTCAGAATATATAAGCATTCGAGTGGTATTTGGGATCAATATTTACCTTTATATAATCTGGGGAGAAACAATTGGCTAAGAACAAAATGCTTCAGGGAAAACTATTTTTTTATTATGTGAAACTCAGTTCTAATATCCAAATATACTATGTTGACTTCTGCTGTCACTCCTTCCTGTTTATCCAAATTAGGAAGTAACACAACCCCCAATATCTTAGAAGATTCTAAATGGGAAATGCAGATTTAATCATTTGCTCATTCAGTTCACTCAATATCTACTTCACTCCAAGTACAGAGCTTATACACTCAATTTCAGTTCTTTCCACTTCCTGCTTCTGCTGGGTTTTTGACCAACCACATTATTTGTTCCCTTCTTGGTGCTGCTGACATATTCCACAGTAATTCATTTTGGAGAATTTCTTCTATTAGACTCTGTTCCTACACTAACAAGCGACTGCTAAGGTAACCAGATAGTTACCACAAAATAGAAGATAATTGATAAGCATACAGAGGACAATGATTTAATATGGAATATTTAATATAATTTTCCTGAAATGCCCTGATCACTCAGCTTTTATCAGCATCTCATCTTAGGATCTTGTCTGCTCTAAATTTTTTTAGAAAATTTTTAAGTGTTTTTTTATTTATTTTTGAGAGAGAGAAACAGCACAAGTGGGAGACAGGCAGAGAGAGAGGGAGACACAGAATCTGAAGCAGGCTCCAGGCTCTGAGCTGTCAGCACACAGAGCCCACCACGGGGCTCAATGCCACTAACTGTAAGATCATGACCTGAGCTGAAGTCGGTGCTCAACCGACTGAGCCACCCAGGCGCCCCTTGTCTACTCTAAATATATATGTGTCTATCTACTGAACCTCTGCTTTTCCAGCAGTATACGGTTCTTCAGGCCTCTGAAGGACCCAGCTCCTCTATGAGCAGTAATAAACATGCAAAATCCTAATTATTTTTGCTGTTTTTCTAGCATAAAATGTTATGTATTTAAAGGCAAACCCATGAATTAGTAACAACTTCCACTGGGGAGACAAAAAGACACACTATTTTTGTGTGCATACCTATTAATTATAAGATATAAAATTATGAGATATAATGCATGTCTTACAATGTAAAATGAAAAAGCCTTTGTCCAGATTTCTCCCTTCTGGACTATTTTTAGGGGGTATGTAGAAGTTACCTCTAAAATGCCAGGCTTTTGTATTAACAAGTTTTTCCTAATCAAAAAACATACCTCTTTGTATACAAATTAATCTTAGGCATAACAGTTTAAGCAGCAGGTAGCTTTTAAATTAGTGATTTGTTTGTAGCTCCTATTATACAGGTAAATATTGAAAGCTTAATAGGTATAGTCACTGTTTAAAGTAGCTTCAAGGAATTTTGGGATCACCAAATTACTTACAAAATATTTACATGATAAAAATTATATATATCAATCCATTTAAGAACCTCTAGCTGGCAATCTTTGAAGTCTAGTTATAGTTATTTTACTAAAGGCGATAGGAGTTCATCTAAGATATTATGTAATTCAGATTGTTATTAACTCCAAGTCTATTCATATGTAATATATATTGTGTGCTATTGTTGATTGACAGATTCTCAGAAATAAATGGAACAATAGGGTTCTGAGGGTCCTATAACTTCTACATTTTGTATTTCCTTCCATTTCTAGTATGTTTACATTCTGTGGGGAGTGAGGGTGAGAGGGTTGTAAAATGAGAAACAGTAGTAAAAGCAAAGCTAGAGTTTCATTTACAAAGTTCAGTGAATAGGGGCACCTGGAAGGTTCAGTCAGTTAAGCATCCAACTTTGGCTCAGGTCATGATCTCACGGATCCTGAGTTCCAGCCCTGCATCAGGCTCTGCACTGACAGTGTGGAGCCTGCTTGGGATTCTCTCTCTCTCCCTCTCTTTACCCGTCCCTGCATGCACATACTCGCACTCTCTCAAAATAAATAAATATACTTTAAAAATCACCTACAACAAAGTTCAGTGAGTAACTCTCTGTGATGGTCATTTTTATGTGTCAACTTGATTGGGCCATAGAGAGCCCAGGTATTTGGGCAAATATTATACTAGACCCGTGAGGGTATTTCTGGATGGGACTAACATTTAAACTGGTAGACTGAATAAAGCAGATTGCCCTTTCTAATGTGAATGTGCCTTATCCAATTAATTGAAACCCTAAATAGAAAAAAAAGGCTGACCTTCCTGGGAGTGAGGGACAATTCATTCAGCCTGACTGCCTTGGAGCTGAGACATCATTTTTTTTCTGCCTTCTCACTCAAACTGAAGCATTGGTTGTTCTTTGGTCTCAAGCTTGCTGGCCTTCAAACCATTGAGTGTCCTAGGTCTCCAGTTTGCCATCTACAATGCCCTGGGACTTGTCAACCTTTATAATTGCATGACACAATTCTTCATAATAATTTCTCTCTCTCTCCAAATATATATAAATAAATACTATATACTTACATATAAATTACGTTTCTATATTTTATATTAATTATATATAATGTGTATATACATTTATATATTATATTATACATATAATATGTCATATTATCCATATATGTATATATCATATACATGTATAATTTATACATTATATATAATTTAATATATATTAAAATATATATTATATATAAAATATCGGTTCTATTTCTCCAGAGAAGAGAGAATAATAATATAATCTCCACCCAGTATTTAAAATTTTTTGAAGACTTACCAGAGCAATGAGATTCTAATTTAGAATTAATATTATTAGTATGATTAGGATTAGGATAGTTAAATCAAACAGTTTACAAAGAATTTTTTATATATACATATGTACTATACACACACGTACATACATATATACATATAAAGAGATTTATTATACCTAATTGACTTATGACGTTTTACAGACAGACAAGTCCCGAGATCTGCAGGATAAGTTGGCAAATTGGAGATCCAGCATAGCTGATGACTTACTCCAGTCTGAGACTGGAGAAGGCCTAAAAGCCAGGAGAGCTAATAGTGTTTTAGTTTTAAAGCTGTCAGGTACCAGACTCAGGAAAAGTCAATGTTTTAGTTCCAGTGTGATGACAGGAAAAAAGCTGATGTCACAGTTCAAAGATTGTCAGGCAAGAAGTATTCTCTCTTAGTTGGAGGAGGGTCAGTCTTTTTGTTTTATTCAGGTTTTCAACTTTAGGAAGGGCAATCTGTTTTATTCAATATACCAATTTAAATATTAACGTCATCCAAAAACACCCTCAAAGAAATACTCAGAATGATATTTAAGCAAATATTTGGGCATCTCATGGTCCACTCAAGATGATCCATAAAGTTAACCATCATGGCTCTAGGCAAAATGGAGTAAAAGGAAAAAAAAAATGAGCCTTATGATTTCCCCAGATAATTGCCTTGAAGGAGTTCCCTGGCCACAAGGAGACAATATCAGACATAAAAAATATATATATAATGCATGCAAAGAATCAGACAAAAGAAACCATAATAAAAAAAACATTCAATTGAAAACTACCTAGAACTAACATGATGTAAGAATTAGCAAATTAGCCTCAAATTAGAATTAGCCTTAAACCAGTATTCAATATGCTTGAAAAATTGAGGTAACAAAAATATAATCATTTCTGAAATGATATTCTGGAGATGAAAACTATAATGTCTGAGATAAAAATGCAATAGGTGGGATTAACATTGACTCTACATTGTGGAAGAAAAGGTTAATGACCATAAAGGCATAGCAATAGATGTTATTTAAAATGAAACACAGGGGTGCCTGGGTGGCTCAGTCAGTTAATCATCAGACTGTTGATTTCAGCTCAAGTCATGATCTCATGGTCTGTGAGATGGAGCCTTGTGTGGGACTCTGTGATGAAGGCATGGGATTCTCTCTCACCCTTACTCCCTGCCCTTCTCATGCTCTCTGTTTCTCAAAATAAATAAATAAACAAAATAAATAAATAAAATGAAACACAAAGAGAGAAAAAGATTTTTAAAGATTTTTAAAAGCATCAGTGAGCTTTGAATAACTTTATGTGGACTGAGGTTTCAGAAGGAAGAGGGAGAGAAATAATGACTGTAAACCCACAATTCCAAAAAGCTCAATAAATCTAAAACGTGCACATACACACACACACACACACACACACACACCCTGTGAAAATAACGACACCAAAACATACCATAATTCAGTTGCTCAAAATCAGTGATAAAAAAAAAAAATCATAGTCACAGGAATATAAGGGCCAGCATAGAGAATACAGTCCATGATATTGTAATAACATTGTGGTGATAGCTGGTAGCAGCTACATTTATGGGGAGCATAGATCTGTAGGGAGAAGCTGAATCATTACATTGTATACCTGAAAATAATGTAACATTGTGTGTCAACTATACTTAAATAAAAGAAAATTTTTAAAAGAAAATCTTAGAAGCAGACCGAGAAAGCAGACGTGTTATGTACAGAAGAACAAAGGTAAGAAAGGCAATAGATTTCCTACAAAGAAAACTGATGTACAACTGAAGTGTAATGGTGAGTGCTAGATTTATTTTGCCCTAAGTCCAGATAATTCTCAGTGTATTTCTGTAAAATCTGATTTCCAATTCTAAGATGTGTTGTTTCATTTCTGTCCAAAGCTTCCAGTAAAGACCTTTGTGCTGCTTGTCACTGAGCCAGTTGCTGTTCTTGCAATCTACAGCTTTATATCCACAAAAATGCCCTTTGTATTTAGATCTCTGCACACTGAGTGTGTTAAAGGCCAAGTTCACTCTGTATCAACTAACAGTGTCTTAAGAATAACATTAGTTACCCAACTTCTAATTTTTGTCTTCTTTATTTTTCCAAGATTGGATTGTCAGAAAATAATCTCTTAGGTGTTTGTACAACCTGGGATAAAAATGACTTCCCCAAAAGACGTCCTGAGAAAAAATCTGAAGATGATCCATGGCTGTCCCATGGTCTATGCATTTGCAAACAACTGGGAAAGGATTGAACAGTTCCACAGCAGGCAAGATGACATCGTGATAGCCACTTACCCAAAGTCAGGTGAGTTTTGGGGCCTGACAAATACATATCTGACTTTAGCCTTTGTTTCCTGAAAATCAGCTTCTCTACAAAATCATTATCATCCTAGGGGCACCTGGGTGGTTCTGTAGGTGAAGTCTTGACTCTTGGTTTTGACTCAGGTCATGATCTCGGGGTTTGTGGGTTTGAACCCTGCATCAGGCTCCATGCTGACAGTGCAGAGCCTGCTTGGGATTCTCTCTCTCCCTCTCTCTCTCTGTTCCTCCCCTGCTTGTACTCTCTCTCTCAAAATAAAGAAATAAAATGATTATCATCCTAAGTAAAATTAACATTCCTATGAGTCAGTCTGGCCATCTACTTTGAGTATATTTTGGATGAGCATTTGGGACACAGAAAGAAGAATTAAGTTTCTAATAGAATGTATTAAAATGGGAAGCTCTCTGTAGGTACTTTTTCTCTCCAGAATCAATAATTATTTTTAAAATGTTGCCTTTCGGGGCGCCCGGGTGGCTTAGTCGGTTAAGCGTCCGACTTTCGCTCAGGTCATGATCTCGCGGATCGTGGGTTCGAGCCCCGCGTCGGGCTCTGTGCTGACTGCCAGCTCAGAGCCTGGAGCCTGTTTCAGTCTGTGACTCCCTCTCTCTCTGACCCTCCCCTGCTCACACTGTCTCTCTCTCTCTCTCTCCTAGAAATAAATAAAACGTTAAAAAAAATTTATTAATAAAATGTTGCCTTTCAACAGGTACCACTTGGGCTAGTGAAATTGTGGACATGGTTGTAAATAATGGAGATATTGAAAAATGTAAGCGGGATTTTATAACAGTTAAAGTTCCAATGTTGGAAATGGTTGTCCCTGGACTAAGAACTTCAGGTAATTTTAAACCAACTGGGAATTATAATTTTGTAGTATTATTCATATAGCATATTAATTATTATATTTGCATTTTCCATTCAAAGAAAGTGGAGTCAATTTGGTAACATAAAATGGAAGTTTGCAGGCAGTACAATCACCAAGACCTATAGAGAAACTGTAGTTTAATTCATTGCATATCCAGGTATGACAACCTATGATGAAAGAATTTTGTTGTAGAAAATAACTAAAAATTTGGGTGATAACATAAAAAATGTTCTTTATATTTTATTGACTTTTGTTGTATAGAATCTGATAGATTGGATTAAAAGCTCCTTATGACATTGCTGTATTTAAATAAGTAAAGTACCAATTCTTCTCAAACATAAAATTTACTATTCATACAATTCATTTTCATTCCACAAATATTTATTGAGTGCTTCTAAAGAATTATGTACTGTGCTATGGGCTGGATATAAAATGATTAGTAAATTCAATGCCCTATCCTCACTGAGTTTGTAGTAATATTGTGTCATTAAATAAGTGAATAATAATATTTGAATATTATTAGGCTTATGTATCCAAAGAATAGGGCTCTATGAAAGAGAACAATAAGAGAGTTTATTTTAGATCAGATATTTAGGGATCTCTACTCTGAAATGAGACATAATATAAAGCCATGCACATAATTGGAAAAAACATATTTAAGGATGAAATATTAGGTATGAAGACCTAGATGCAGAAAAGACCTTGGTACAGTACAGGGATTAAACAACAACAATGAAAGAGGAGAGTAGGGCTTGTAGTTTTCAAGAAGTGCTCAGTGATCTGAAAGAATCAGGAGTATGATGTCCCATGGGCATGTGAGAAGGCCTTAAGGAGTGAGGTCTAGCTCGCTAGTGCTGCTGGAAACCTGGGGTAGGAAGACAGAAGTATGGTAGTGAATGTTCATATCAACTTAAAACTAGCTCTCTCTGGTTACTGGTTACTTCCAGAAGCAGAGAAGAACCAACAGAAAAGGTTTCATTCCTTCTGTGTGGTTGCCTGAAGTCAGAGCAAATGTTGACCCTTGATGCTAAAAGAGCTATTCTGGGATAGGCAAACAAAGTGAGTCCAAGAGTGAGATCAGACTCCAAAGCCATAAAGAAGTATAAAGTGTAAAAGTGATAGAATCAGAGTAATCCAGGTGAGGGAGTCAGGCATGACTAGTGGAAGATGGGGGTTAGGAGTGGGAGTGAGGCCTTGTAACATCACCAGAGAGAGAGTAAGTGAGGTTCAACAGGTAACAGAGGGCAAGTTGACACTAAGATTGACTCCGGAGCCTGAATATGAATATGTGTAATATCATTACGTATTCCCCGCATTAACATTTGTGCAATAAAGGACTCATTTAAAGGACATTATGTGGTAAAATAGTTACAACCTAGAGGTTGAGAAATCTTTTAATGACGTTAGGGAGTGAAGAGGAACAACAGATGGGAAAAACTTCATAAGAGAAACAAATGTAAGAGTTCATGTCATGGGCATTGAGAAATAATGAGTTATGGAAAATTATGATTTCTCATTTCCATATGCTGCGTAAAGTGACTGTAACTACCCGGTCAGTATTAACTGGGTATAATAAAATACGTGGTGAATTTTATAGGCATATAACTAGTGTTTCCAGATAAAATTCAAGATACCATGTTTAATTTGAGATTCAGATAAATAGCTCTTTTATTTAGCATAAGTATATCCCAAATATTGCATGGAAGATATTTATACTAAAAGGTGTCTGTTGTTTACCTGAAATTCAAATTTAACTAAGATTCTTGATCTATGATTCCTAAGTTGGCCAACCGTAACCACATTAAAATTAAGACATTCTTCCTAATACAACTATGTGCTATGCATTTTTCTCTACAGAACATTTATTGGTAAACAAAGCAAGCTATACTTCTGCTCTTGTGGGATTTCCATTCAAGTGTGTTTGAGGTGGGGTGAGGAAGAGGCATGGGGACAGACAATAAATAAATAAACAAGTAAATAAACGATGAAACAAAAATAAACCATATACAGAACATTTTAAAAGGATATTTTAATAGAGATTCAGTGGCTTTTTAATGTATGTAATAACTTTTTGTAAACAACTGAAGCATAAGATTGTTTTGAATGAGTAAGTCAGATGCAATTTTGAGCAGGTGTGCCTTGTATGCAAAAGGTGGGAAGATAATGTAGGATTAACAGGTAATCTAGAGGTTAGACTGGATATAAGTAATATTGTGAAGAATATGCATAGGACTTTAAGATTTATTGAATATGATACCTGAAGGAGAAGACAACAATAATTGAGATTTTAGGTGTTGGTGACTGTCCAGGAAATAGCATCATTAACAGACATATCTAGGATATGATAAGGTCACTGAGTGCATTAAAAGAATCGTAAGTTAAAAGAGTTGGACCAGCTTTTCTTAGCTATGTCAGGAATTCTCTGAGTATGCCTTTACCCCAGAAGTGACTTCAGACTGGACAAGTCACTTATGTAGTGAGATGCAGGTACTGGGATTTTCCTAGCTCTGAATATACAAAATAAATGGATATTTTCCATCTCGGGGAAGTTCACACATCCCTTATACAAAGACCTGAAATGAGGTTTTCTACAATTACTTGTATAACTTTAATGAGGTCAGCTAATACCTAAAAATTACACAACATTTTCATTTTGCATATATAAACATATGACACATAAAGGAAATTAAAAATGCAGATGCAACAGCTGACGCTGTACAGAAATAACATTGTCTATGTCATAATAGCGTATGCAAAACAGTAGTTGATGTGAGAATTACTAGTTATTGATATCTCTTTGAGATACAGAAAATATTTTTGTAATTATTTATAATAATGCAAGGTATGATAAAACTCCAAACTACTAAAGCTGATAACTATTACCCCTCATTTTGGAGGTGGGGAAAGTGAAACACAGAGACTAGCATACTTTTCTTTCTATTTTCTTTTAATTTGTATTATTTTTTAATAGTTTACTGTCAAGTTGGTTTCCATATAATACCCAGTGCTCATCCCCACAAGTGCCCTCCTCCATGCCCATCCCCCCTTCCCCTCCCCTCCACCCCCATCAGACCTCAGTTTGTTCTCAGCATTCAAGAGTCTCTCATGGTTTGCCTCCCTCCCTCTCCCCCACTATTTCCTCCCTTCTTGTCCCCCATGGTCCTCCGTTAAGTTATGTCTCATGATGCGTTAAGTGACAGACTTAGGATTCAAACCCGAGGAGGCTAACCTCAGAACTATGCCCTTAACCATTATGCAATATTGCCTCTTAGAATCCAGGTAAATATCTGTGATGGGTTCAAAATCTAGCACCATTATATACTGCTCAAAAATATTTTAGCAGGTGAAAATCAGGAAATGCAGGCTCCTTTAAGACTTTAATGTGTCTCTATACTAAACTAAATCTTCCCAGGAGTAGAACAATTAGAGAAGAATCCTTCCCCCCGGCTTGTGAAGACACATCTACCAATTGATCTCCTTCCTAAGTCTTTCTGGGAGAACAACTGCAAGGTATATTCTACACTGCAAGTCAATCATTTTCAAGTTATTTCTTTATTTTTGAGAGAGACAGAGACAGTGTGAGTGGAGGAGAGGAAGAGCGAGAGGGAGAGAGAGAATTCCAAGGAGGCTTTGCACTATCAGCACAGAGCCTGATGCAGGGTTCAAACCTGTGAAACTGTTCATGAAACTGTGAGATCATGACTTGAGTTGAAACCAAGAGCTGGTCACTTAACTGACTCAGCCACCCAGGCTCCCCGTAATTCAATTTTTCAATGTGGCCTTATCCCTTTAATCACACGAATGGTAAGCGATTGCTCAAATGTTTTGTTTACTTGTTACTCTGAGAACTGAGCTACATAAGAAAATGGCTAAATTAAAAATATACATAGTTCAGTCTAAACCTACATAGTCAAGTTTGCCGCACACATGTAGCAACAGGATCCCCATCTCAGGACAGTATTGCTACTGATATTCCCCAACGGTCTCTAGATAGTCTGACCTTCCCCCAAAACTCAACATAAGGGTGTCAGTTCTTATTTGATTATTTGGTAAAATTCTCCAGTAAAACCTTTGTGCCTGAATATTGATTCTGGGGAATTTTAAATTTGAAATTCAGTTTCTTTAATAATTGTGGGGCTATTTTGATTATCCTCTCTTTCAACCTAACTGATTTTTACCAGTTTGTGATGTATGAGGAATCCTTAGTTGTTGAATTTTGTAATGAAAAGTGTTTTATAATTCTCTTCTTATTCTTTCTTTGAACAGTAGACTGTAGTTTTACAGCAACTTTATTTTTAGACCAGTTCTAGGTTCACAGCAAAATTGAGTAGAAGGTAAAGAGATTCTCCATATATCCCCTGCCCCTACACATGCATAGCTACCTATTATCAACATCCCCCACCAGAGTGGTACATTTTTTACAACCGATGAACCTACACTGACACATCATTATCACCGAAAGATTATAGTTTACATTAGGATTCACTCTTGGCGATGTACATTCTATGGATTTGGACAAATATATAATGACATATTATATATATATATATACTATAATATATATATATTATATATATTATATAATATATATACATACACACACACAATAATATACCATTATAGTATCATACAGGGTAGCTTCACTGCCTTTTCTAGAATGTCATATAGTTAGAATCATACAGTTTGTAGCTTTTCCAAATTGTATTCTTTCACTTAGTAATATGCATTTAAGGTTCTTCCATGTCTTTTCATGGCTTAATAGCTCATTTCACTTTAGTGCTAAATAATATTCCATTGTCTGGATGTATATCAGTTTACTCATTCACCTACAGAAAGACATCTTGGTTCCTTCCACATTTTGGCAATTATGAACAGAGCTCCTGTGTACATACACTTGCAGGTTTTTGTGTGGTCTTTATATTTCAACTTTGGGTAGATGCCAAGTAATGCAATTGCTGGATTGTAGGTAAGAGTATTGCTTAGCTTTGTAAGAAACTGCCCAAGTGTCTTTCAAAGTAGCAGTACTGTTTTTTTCAGTCCCACCAACAATGAATGAAAGTTCCTGTCACTCTACATCCTCACCAGGATTTAGTGTCAGTTTTCTGGCTATTGGTCATTCTAATAAGTATGGAGTGATGTCTCATTGTTGCTTCAATTTTCATTTCTCTGATGACATATGATGTGTAACATCTTTTCATACTCTTATTATAGTTTTAATGGCTGTACTATTTATTGTGATACTGCCTGGTTTTTTTCTTGATATTAGTTGTGTCTTCTCTTTTTTATTAGTCTTGCTAGATGTTTATTAATTTTGTGATTTTTAAAAAGAACCAGCTTTCTGCTTCATTAATTTACCCTAATGTTTTCCTGTTACTAATTTCATGGATTTCAAATCCATGTGATTTTCTTCCTTCTCCTCCACCCCCCCATAGATGATTTATCTGGCTCGAAATGCCAAGGATGTTGCAGTTTCATATTACCATTTTGACTTAATGAATAATTTACAACCTGTTCCTGGCCCCTGGGAAGAATATCTGGAGAAGTTCATGACTGGAAATGGTAGGTAGGGTTGGCTTGAAATTAATATTTTCTTTTTAATAATACTAAAAACCATTATTGTTATGACTCTTATCAAAACACTTTTCCACATCAGTAACAAGTATTAGCATTTTAAAAACTTAGATCAACTATATTTTATATTTTACATGACATCAATAAATAAATTTAGTGTTTAACTGTGGCTTGATAAAAATATTCTCAAATATCTTCTTAGGTGTTAGAAATCAATTCTCAGTTCCTGCTTACAATGGAAATTGTTTAACTTGCCCAAATCTTTAGTTATATCTGTTAAACATAAATAGTACTTAAATAAATAATTAATATGAGTACTTAGTAGAATAGTTTCCTTCTATGAAAGGCTAAGTAACACCCATTGGAGGTCAGTGTATTTTCATTTGAAATGTACATTTCCTTTGTACTTTCTATTTTTAAAATCTGATGGTACATTCATAATTATTTATTTTTTAATTAGCCTTATATATTCAGTTCCCTTGATTACTAAATTCCACAAAATATTTGTACAATTTGCCTTATTGTTTAGAAACAAATCTTTAGTTTGATGAAAACTTATGATAATAGACTGTTTTTCTGGTATTAGTGGCCTATGGCTCCTGGTTTGATCATGTTAAGAGCTGGTGGAAGAAAAAGGAAGAACACCCAATACTTTTCTTGTACTATGAAGATATGAAAGAGGTAAAATGGTATAAATTCATTCTGGATAATTCCCCCATTACATCCAAAAGGTTGGGGCCAAGGGTTAACACATATTTTTAACTTATCTATGGAGTAAAAAATGATATGATTATTTTGCTTCTTCTCCATGCCTGCTTACTCAGATCTTTCTAAGATCATTAGTGACTTCTACTGGTAAAATCCATGACATTTTATCATACTTTTTATCCATTGTGTTTATTTTGGGCAACTTTTCTTTTTGAAAGTCTTTCCTACATTTAACAAGTTATCATTCTGTCCTGGTTTTCCTAGAATCTCTATCTATCACTTAATTTTTTCAAGCTCTTTGCCACATTTTGGTGATCATACCCATGCCTACTATTGTCAAAACTATTTATGTGCTAGTGCCCCCCCAAAACTCCATTTTAACTTCCATGCTTTTATTAAAATGACCCTCAAATTTAACACATTCAAAACTAAACTCAGTTTCCTTCTCTCTCACTCCAACATGTAATCCTTTTCTCCTTTTATTTTTGCTTTGGTTAATGATGTGATTTGTCCATTAATTTTCAAAGTTTGAAAATACATTGTCTTCATTGGCTTCCATATGGCGAATACAGTTCCACTCTAATTGTGAGCATCTCATTGGTTCACATGACCTATCTATTATAACTGCTACATGCGCCCCTCTCTTTACTCTCTTACTATATCTCTCTTAGTTTGGAGACTCATAAGTATTCATGTAGTCTCCTGTATGAATTAATATAGTTCAAATATTGCAAACTTCTAGGCCTATTTTGAGGCTATTTTACTTAAATTAGGCAAACACACACACACACACACACACACACACACACCTGAGAAATATGTGGAAACTAAGTTCCTCTATTTGAAAAAACCTGGACATACAAATGAAGATACATTGTAGACTTCCAGATTGATAATGGAAGGTACAATATCTATCATTTTCATAGCAGCATTCACAGTACATAATATGGCACCTTGCATATACAGAGGAGCTCATAGAATCACTTGTATAGATAATTGATTATTTGAATGACATATACAGAGAGGCTCATAAGATCACTTGCATGGATAACTGATTACTTGAATGAATAAATAAATGAATAAATAGTATTAACAAGCATTTTAGAGACATCAATTTTACTTGATATCACAGAAATCATGCTCCATGTAAAATTTCCCTTGATTCAAGTATTTCTGAGAACCCCCTGGGGTATTTCTCACATCTTAACTGAAAGAGTGTTCTGAGTTTTTCTGCTCTGCCCAGGATCCCATCTTCCATCACATTTGTTTGCAGCCCATAGAGAATTCATGGTCTAAGCTTTACTATTGTCCATTTATACAGGGCTTGAGGCAATTTATTTGAATTTGCTGGCAATATACAGATGTGAAACTGAAGTGGTTTTATGAAAACCTTTTAAAAAGTGATGCTATCCCATGAGTGTTTGATTCGCCAGTTAAGTAATGAATTCTTCATAATAGAGAAAGTTTTCCTTCTGTTCTTTCTTTACTTCCTGGACCCAGAGTAGGCCTTAATAACTTTATGAAAAGAGCAATTTTAGCTTCTGAATATAGACCCTTTCCTCCATAGCATGGGGAAATACATTTTCTATGCTGGGCTGCTTTCCCAATTCTGAATCTGACAGCATGCTATCCTCTATGTGACATTCTTGTGTCAACCATTTCTCTTCTTATTTAGCTAAAATGTGTTATTCAAATCCACTCATTAATTCTGATTTATGGCGTTGCCCAATCAGCTTTTTAAGCATATCTGTATATTTTGAGTTCCACTCAAACGTGCTATAATCATTGAATTTAAGAGATGATCTTTTTCTCCTGTCATACCAGTCATTTTTAGACAATATTATATGAAGAAGTTTAATCTACAGCAGAAAGAGTTTCGGTAGGAGTCAGCACCCTGCTTTCACTTGTACTGAGCTATATGCTAACATGCTCACTGATATTTAGGCAGTGGTCAGATTATTCTCCAAACATTTGGAATCCCTAAGAGAAATTGTTCTCTATCTGCCTGTTCTCTATCTCCATCTGTGGTTTTCCTAGTACCACTATTAACTTTTCTTTTGGCATTTTTCCCATTATCATAATTTCTGATCTTTTACTTCTTCCAAGCATCCCTTAATTAGTCATCTCTTTCCTCTCTCATTGTCTGAGATACAAAATATTGCCAGAACTTTCCTTGTAGGGAACTGCCTGCCAAAATGTGAACGGATGTGTATGTGAACACACACACAGTTAGTGACATATTATTAAGTGTTGTTGCTTCCCTGCAAAAGAGATAAAGTAAAAATTCCTCAACAGGACATCCAAAGACTTTCTCAGTTTTACCCCAATTTATCTTTCCAATTTTACAACTTCTCTCACTCCTATGAACAACTCAAATCAAACTTCAACCACTTTTCTTTTTTTTAATTCCCTCAACATATTATGAGACTCTATACCTCCAAGAGTTTTTGCCTATATTCTCTACTGGAAATTCACTCTCCATCATCTCAGCAGACCACACATCATGGTAAATTCTGGTTCACTTTTTTCAATTCAGCTTAGATATCACCTTCTCAAAGTATTTCTAGACATATTCATATAGAGTTTAGTTTAGCTTCCTTAAATTTCCAAATATTAAGTTTATGTCATTAGAATCTGGAAGGTGATCTGTTTCTCAAATTTTGTTCTTTTTATCCCCAATTGTTCATGAATAACTTAGGTCTTGATATCTTTGCACCTTCATAGGAGTTTATTTTTGATAATTTTTGTCCAAGCAAGGTCTATGATATAAAGACTCTAAGGCAAACATACTTGACATTGTTCATGAATTTATTATCTTTGCTTTTAAATATTGTTATTAACAACAAGAAAGGATGGGGCATCTGGGTGGTTCAGCCAGTTAAGTGGCTGACTTTGGCTCAGATCATCATCTCACAGTCTGTGAGTTCAAGCTCAGCGTAGGGCTGACAGCTCAGAGCCTGGAGCCTACTTCGTATTCTGTGTCTCCCTCTCTCTCTCTGACCCTCCCCCACTCGTGCTCTCTCTCTCTCAAAAATAAATAAATATTAAAAATAAAAATAAAGACAAGGAAAGAATTTTAATTAACAAATAAATAAAGCCAAGGAGAATAAAAAGATATAGCTGTTTTTTCCTCCAAATATTGTTACTATTTAGCCCAAAATTTGTTCTTATTTTACTTTGGATATAGTAATAATATGAAATTTAATAATACGAAATTTAATAATATGGAATTTAGAAGAAATAAAATATTTCCAGCCTATTTCTCCAAACATAAATTATTGATTTTTTTCATTTTCATGATTAATTTAAAAACCATTGATGATCCAACAAAATATTGATTGAATATTCAGAACCAAGATTTAAGAAAACAGGTTGTAAATACTACAGTTTCCCATTATGTTAATGATGTATTTATTTACCGTTTTCTTGGGTATGTCTCTCTTTACCCACTAATAGAATCCAAAGCAGGAAGTCAAGAAGATTGGGAGATTTCTAGAGAAGAATTTGAATGATGAGGTCTTGGATAAGATTGTCCATCACACCTCATTTGAAGTGATGAAAGACAACCCTCTGGTGAATTATACACATATACCAACTACAGTGATGGATCACAGCAAATCCTCTTTTATGCGTAAAGGTAAATATTTTGCTGAGTTTAATTTCCCTTTTCACTTTCTTACTAATTTTTTTGTTTTTGTTTTTGTTTTTTTTTAATGTTTATTTATTTCTAGGAGACAGAGAGAGAGACAGCGTGAGCAGGGGAGGGTCAGAGAGAGAGGGAGTCACAGACTGAAACAGGCTCCAGGCTCTGAGCTGGCAGTCAGCACAGAGCCTGACGCGGGGCTCGAACCCACGAACCGTGAGATCATGACCTAAGCGAAAGTCGGACGCTTAACCAACTAAGCCACCCAGGCACCCCTAATTTCTTTGAAATGAGGATTAACTTTGTGATCTCTAACAAGTTACTTAGCCAGTTTGGGCACCAGTTTCTTCAACTGTAATATAGAGACACTAAAAATACCTGCCACAAAAAGTTGCTGAACTAGATTAGAAATTACCAAGGGAAATAATGCATATAAACATGTTATCTGAATACCTTGGGTATCTGGTGCATATTTCTTCTCCTATTTACTATGCTACTAAATGGGAGTAGTTTTTTGAGTTCTCATGTGAGTCATTCCAAACTTGTTATTCCTAAATCTTAAATCTTTACCTAAATAGGCATAGGCCTCCCTGTCCTCCTCAGTGATTAATTAATGTCACTCAATACAGAACTATCTGCTTTAAAGAACCCATAATCACTTGGAAAACAGTGGTCATTTTGCTAAGGATTCACCTTAGGACTTTTTTTTTTTTTTTTTTTTTTTTTTACCTAATGGGAAGATTTGCTCCCTAAAAAAACTATCTGAATTATAGGAAATATAGAATCCACATTTAACTTAAAAGCATGAAAAGAGAGGAATATGGCATTCACTACTGATTCAACTGAAGTAAATCCTGCATCTTGTGGCTTCTTGTACAGGATTTGTGTCAAAACTGTTTTATCAATCATAAAAATAATACATTTAACAAATTAACTTAAACAAATTTGAGAAGTTATCCACCCAATAATGTCACTCTGTTTTTAATATTTTTTATTGAAATGGGAGAGAAAGGGGTAAAACTGTATGCAGTTAGTGCTAGGAAATAAACACAATCCTAGAAATGTATTGTGCATATGAACATGTGGCTGAAAACACTTGATTTTCAAAGAGTTACACAGTTTAATTTTTTCTAAAACATTTTCTCTATTACTTATTAAAATAGCAAATAGTCTTGGTGTTTCCAAATTATTTTTTATTTTCAAAAATGTTACATTTAACTTTTCAAAACTAACCTCTACGATAAGAAGGAAAAGTAAATTTTTCATTGTAAATGGTGTCTAAACAAAGGCTGATGCACACATACACACATTTTGCTGGCAGAAAGAAAAAAAATCAAAAAGAAATCCTCCTTTACTAAATAAGGCAAATTGTCATTTTGTCAGATTATCTGAATGTAACTTCCAGGAGAGTTTTATTCCCGTTCATATGAAAATTGGTACCACCTCATGATCCCTCATTAAGGTACTGAGGTAGATGAAGTAAGTTCAGTATCTGGATTCTATGCTTTCTCCAACCTCAAACAGAAAAGAGTTCATGCTGCTCTAATGAGGGAGTCTGTCTTTACATCTGCTCTGGAACTGGTAAAAAACAAAACAAAACAAAACCATATTCTTTGTGGGCAGATTGATCCCGTCTTTATCCAGGCAATGCCACTCCATGTATCTGCGATTTTGAATACATTGAATCAATCTGCCAAAGGTCTAGCTACATCACTGAAAATATGGAGAAAGTAACATGCTCCATGGCATATGTTTGGGAGAGGGGATTATGGAAAATGACATGTAAGCATATGGAATGGGTTTTTTTGACCATAAATGATACATTAAAAAGTAACAAGTCTTATTAGTCTAAATAATTTATCCATTTATTCATTAACGCACTCGACAAATACTTAAACAGTCCCCATTTATTCATTCATTTATGTATAAAAAACACTCTTCACGAACACCTGAATGCAGCACATATTCTCTGGAAGATGCATGGGTGAATGACACATGCATCTGTTTTAAGAGGCTTATAATGTAATGCGAGAGGCATACATGTAAATGGATGTTAAACAGGGTTCAGAGTGATGTATAAACAAAAGGCCAGATGCACTCAGACTTGAGGGATGCCATGTTGGCTAAATCAAGGTCATAATTTAGTCACACAATAGTAAAAGTAGTAGGGAGAGGATAGATGATCTACAATGTTCATACTTATGTCCCAAATTGCAACAAAACAGAAATATCTGGGCTTTGACCAGCATTTATTTATAAAAAAAATTTATACTTCCCTTACTCTTGTGAAGCAAATGTGTTTGTGTATATTACATAATTGATACTTAAAGCACAAGATCAGTGGAATACTTTATATATAAGTCTTTATTGTTTAATCTGTGCTTTTTGTTTTTAATGACATCTTTATAGATGTACTGTTCCAAATATATACTCCTCTTGCATTTCAAAGAGCTCTTAACCATAGAGAGCACAGTGAGTGAACATATAACCTGAAGTATAATAATCAGGAAACAACCTTGTTTATGGGGATGTTTTTCAATAAAAGGATTTGAAATCTTCATCAAGTCATAATGGGTTAACATAGCTTGCAATTCAATAGGACATGTTTCGTATTTCATAAAATAACAAAAGTAGATGTTTATCTCCAAGCACATTTATAGTACATTAAAAACTTATTTATTCTTCAAATAAATATTTATAAGCATCTAAGCATAAGAAATTAAATGTAAATTTGTATCTCAAAAGTTTTGTAAAAATAGTTCAGAGACGTTATATGTTTGATTTTCAGGGCTATTCTTTTCATCTAAATTTCCAAAACAGTATAAGTCTAATGAACTCAGGGAAAACAGGTATTCTCCAAGTATCACACTATCTTCATTTGTAAATTCATGGGAAATTATACTTATCAACTTTCTAGTTCATGGATTGGTTTTGGTGATGGCCAGTCTTTTGCATAGTTTCCAAAATGAATTCATGAAATAAAATCTGCCCTGACCATTGACCCAGGGTCCAGTAGTAACCTTGTCTCCCATGACAAATGGAAACACTAAAAGAATCTTGTTCAGGAAACTATCGTACAACCCATAAATTCAGACAAGAAAATTCACCTTTTTCAGAATGTATCTTTAAAAAAGTCAGTCAAAACCACAATAAGATATCACCTCACACCTATAGGAATGGCTAGTATCAAAACAGATAAGAAATAACAAGTGTTGGCGAGGATGTGGAAAAAAGGGAACACCTGTACACTGTTGGTGGGATGCAAATTGGTGCAGTCATTGTGGAAAACAGTATGGAAGTTAAAATTAAAAATAAAATTAAAAATATAACTACCATATGATCCAGCAATCCACTACTGGGTAATGAAAATGAAAGCACTAATTTGAGAAGATATATACACCATTATGTTTATTTCAGCATTATTTACAATAGCTAAGATATTGAAGCAATGCAAGTGTTCAGCAACAGATGAAGGGATAAAGAAGACGTGGTTATACATACAATGGAACTCTACTTACTGTTAAAAATAAAATAAAATAAAATCTTGCCATTTGCAACAACATGGATGGACCTAGAAAGTATTATGTTAGGTGAAACAAGTAAGACAAAGAAAGATAAATACCACACAAGTTCACTTATATGTGGAATATAAAAAAATAAACATTAAAGAAAACAAAACAGAAACAGACTCATAAATAAAAGAACAAACTGATGGTTGCCAGAGGGGAGGGGAATGGGGGAATAGGTGAAAAAAATGAAGGGGATTAAGAGGAACAAACTTCTGGTTATGAAATAAACAAGTCACAGAGATGCAGAGTACAACTTAAGGAATGTAGTCAATAATATTGTAATAACAGATGATAACTTCATTTATCATGGTGATCATTTCTTAATAGATATAAATGTTGAACCACTATATTGTACACTGGAAATGAGTCTAATATTGGATGTCAATTATACTTCAAAAAAAGTCAGGTTCTGTTTAGTTATAAACCACCTTTTTAGATGGAAGGAATTACCAATAAAAGAGAAATGACATTTTGGAGTATTCAAATACAAAAAAGTCTTTCTCTTCTAACTTTTTCCTTTAGTATATATTAGCTTTTCCCTCATAATGGAAATATATTACTCCTTCATGTTTTCTTATTTATTTTTAGGGATTGCAGGTGACTGGAAGAATTACTTCACAGTAGCCCAAAATGAGAAATTTGATGCCCTTTACAAGAAGGAAATGTCTGGATCTACACTTCAGTTCCGCACAGAGATTTAAAGAGCCGACACTGCCAATCTGAAGGAGGAAGAACTAGGCAGTAATTTGTTAAAACGGGTAGTTATGACTTTACTTGGGCAGTCAAGTGGATTTATAAAGGAGAAAATGTGCTTTTAACATGGATGTTCTTTTACTGTCATTAATCAGGTCTCAGTTTCACCTCTGGCTCTGAGCTTCCAAATTCCCTAAAATTAGGGCCAATTGTTGCTTTTGGTAGGATATTCCTGCCTTTTCCCAAACTAGTATGGACAGCAAAGAAAGTACTTATCCTACTCAATCTCTATATGTTGTGGCTTAGAACTTAGTTCCCCTCCCTATTAACATGGTCCAAGAAGTGCTATTTGCACACTGATACTATATTTCCTAGCTCTGCCCCAATTTCCCCTTGTTGAAAACTTGACCCAGGACACTGTGTTCCATGGCTATCTTCTGGGTTTCAAGTTGTTCCCTGGGTCATAGATCATCTGCTCACAGTGCCACTATTTGGATAACACAGTTCATGTCCCTAATGATGTGGTTCAGATTTTAGAATTGTTCCTATACTTAATTTCTAAGCATCCAAATTTTTAATTGCTGAGGATCCAACTTCTGGGTCTCCACAGGTGAAAGGTCTATACTGGTCTCCCTGAGACCATCCCATGGGAACTGTAGCTCTGCTCTGAGAGCCTGAACTGAGGCAGCAACCTGCTTCCTGTGCAAAGTCCTCCCCAGTCTCAACAGTCTCTATTGCAATTCTAAGAATTGCCTATTGACATAGTCTGGTCACCATTCGGAAACTTCAGTTACCTCATTTTGTAATTTTTTTGGGTGGAATTGACCAAACTGATATCAAAGGGAAACTCTGGTCTAAATCTCCACTATGCCCTCCTGACCCCATATCCCTTCTGTGTACCATCTAATACTTATGCCCATCAGCTTGGGCTCTTTGATAAAATGTTTCCTTGGGACATTTGTTTCTCAACTCCAGCTTTGCCTTAGATGTAGTTATCTATATCTGCATATGCAGCAAGATCTCTTGCCTGTAGATAATATCAGCCTGTGACAAATTGCATGCCAGGCCCAAGCTCCCAAACTCACGTGTGGTGAGAATGCCCTGGGCCTTACTTGTTCTGGAGAAGAGTGCTAACACATGATAGACCCCCTGAGCCATGACTAAGATCGCTACAATAATTTGGGTGACAGTGTTTTGCCTTCATAGGCAAATGGCTGCTGTCAGCCTCTCCAGCTGGAATAGTGGCTCAAGCATGTAACTTCTCTCTTCCCTAGCCTCAGCAGAAAGCTGATCTAATGCCAACTGCAAATCTCCTGGGAGTGATATATAGATATGATTTTGGAAATAGTTGTTTTGATAGTTTTATTATAATATGTATTATAAATTGTTTTTGTATGTTTGTTAGAAATTTGTTTAGTAGTAGATAATCTTGAATACCTAGGGGTATGGTGAACTAGTTCCAGTTTTCTAGAATATGCTTTAATGACACAAAGTAAAGCCAATCAGAGATCTATTTGATTTGTTGCCTTTATTAATAAGTTATTGTGATACATGCTTCCAATTATATGGTCTATTTTTGAATAAAAATGTGTCTTTCCGAACTAGTCTTTAATCTGGGTAATAGATCGGCTGCACTGACTGCCTTCACTAGCAAGATAGGATAGTTTCTATTTTCTCTAGTTGTCCTTTGTGGAAATAAGTTTCTGTAATTGGATTTTTTTTTTTTAATTAAGTAAGATTTAGCTATATCCCAGGTATTTCATTAGGCTCTGGAAATACAGTTGAGAAACACATAGAATTTAGATTTTTCCCTTACCTTTTTTATAGATTGTTGCCTTTGATCCAAATGCCAGAACTCTGTTCATTCTCTCATCAACTCAAGCTTCATACCACATAAGTAACACTCCTACTAGAATTCCAATTTCAGAAGTACCTGATGTCTTTTAAAATCACTTTAAAACTGCCACCAAGTTAATTTTCCTAAAATAATGTTTTTATCATTATTTTTCCTATGCAAAAATTATCTGTATAATTTTCAAACAAAAAACTTTAGAATAATCTCATTCTAGTTTTCTCTTACCAAAGCACATACTACAAAGATAGTGATAGCAAATGTCTGGCAATGATGAGATTACTTTCATAGACTTCGCCCCTTGCTAATCAATCAAAGACCATTTTCCAAGAAGCCAAATGTGGCCACAAATATTGTTTCATCGTGATATTCAAAGCAAGTACTGGCACTTGTTCAGAGTAGGTGCCTATTATAAAACTGCCATTATTGATCAAAGGAAAAGAGCCACAAAAACTCCCAAGGGAACCATATTTTAATAATGGATTTTCCTTTAGAGGAATGCTTACATTTTAGAAAGTGAAGGAAGTAGATTTTAGTCTCTCATCTGAAAAATCAGTCAGCTCGTGTTTCCTCCATGTTAGAAAACTCTATGGCTATACTTGTCTCCTGCTTCCATAATCAAACTGTTTTCATCAGTGCCTGAATGTTCTTTGTGTTTCTGCACCAGCGCTTTTGTTCACATCATGCCTTTCTCCTCCCAGCCTCACTCCCACAAACATCCAGGATGCCATATTTCCACTTCCCTAGATTAAAAGCCCAATTCTAATTTTATTTCTCTTTTTTTTAGTTTATTTACTAATTTCATTTCAATGAACATTTCTCTTACCACTCTTTCACAAAGAAACTAATCCTTCCACCTGAGTCTTCCAGTATTTGTCCCCAGGATAATTTATCTGATAGTTACTAACTAAAGAGGTATTATCCTAAAGTGCCATTATGTCTTTGCAGTTACCTACCTATCAACAAACTAAGCTATGTTCATTGATGACAAGGACTGGCTTTCACCTTTTAGTGCTTCCATGAAGTTGTGCAAGCTCTGTGTTCTGAATGACGACATTTATAGTCACTTGCATTCATCCAATAAAGTTTATTTGTAAACCTCTCTTTTGCAAATTCACAATCTATTTCGATATACATTAAATGACACAAATTAAACAAACATAGCACTAAAAGATTAAGGCACTTTTCCCTGCTGGATTAAATTGTAGCCTCGGACACCTTCTTAACACAACAGTATATTGACGTATTAGTTTATTATGGTTGGTATGTGCGATGGTCAGTTTTATATGTCAACTTGGTTAGGCTATGCTACCCAGCTATTTCATCAAATTGATATAGGTGTTGCTGTATAAGCATTTTATGCAGGTGATTAATATCTACCATCAATTGACTTTATGTAAAGGAGCTTGTCATTGATAATATGTATAGGCCTGATCCAATCCACTGAAAGGCTTTAAGAGCAGAACTGAGATATCCCTGTGAAAGAAGTAATTTAGAAATTCCTTTTATTCTTTTTTTTTTAATGTTTTATTTATTTCTAGGAGAGAGAGAGAGACAGCGTGAGCAGGGGAGGGTCTGAGAGAGAGGGAGTCACAGACTCTGAAACAGGCTCCAGGCTCTTAGCTGGCAGTTAGCACAGAGCCCGACGCGGCGCTCGAACCCACGAACCGCGAGATCATGACCTAAGCGAAAGTCGGACGCTTAACCGACTAAGCCACCCAGGCGCCCCTAGAAATTCCTTTTAAAGAGCGGTGCCTGGGTGGCTTAGTCAGCTAAGCATCCAACTTCGGCTCAGGTCATGATCTCACAGTTCGTGGGTTCGAGCCCCGCGTCAGGCTCTGAGCTGATAGCTAGCTCAGAGCCTGGAGCCTGCTTCAGATTCTGTGTCTCCCTCTCTCTCTTACCCTCCCCTGCTCAACGTTGTCTCTCTCTCTCTCCAAAAAATAAATAAAACATTAAAAAAAAAGAAATTATTTTTAAAGAATAAAATATCAGCTCCTGCTTTAGAGCCTCTAGTCTGAAGGTCTGCCTTACAGATTTCAGATTTGCCTGACTAGGCCCTGCAATCATACAAACCAACTCTTTGCAATAAATCTCATGATATATACATATATATGTATATGCATGTATATATGTAAACACATATATGTATATGCAAACACACACATATATACAGGTACATTTGCAGTGTGTGTGTGTGTGTGTGTGTGTGTGTCCCATTTGTTCTGATTTATCTGACAAAAATCAAATATTAAACATCATCAAAAAATGTTAACAATCTATTGGATGACAACTTTATTAAGTCTCCTTCCTTGTTATTTGTTGAAAGCAAAGAATTGAAGTCCACCTGATATTGAAATAATTTTCTTCCCAGTAATTACAATAATAATTAGTCACAATTTCTAGGAAGAATGAAAGATACCTATGCCGAAAACTATAAGACATTCATGAAAAAAATCAAAGATACAAATAAATGGAAAGGCATCCCATGTTCATGGATTAGAAGAATTAATACTGTTAAAATGTCAATACTACCAAAAGCCACCTATAGATTCAGTGCAATCCCTATCAAGATTCCAATGGTATTTTTAACAGATGTCAGATAAAGCACTCAAGATTTTTATGAAACTGCAAAGATTCCAAGTAGCCAAAGCAACCCTGAGAAAGAACAAGGCAGGAGATATCATTCCTCTTGATTTCAAGCTATCCTATAGAGCTATAGTTATCAAAACAGTATGATACTCAATACCTATGACACCTGGGCCTACAGCAGCTTCAATGGCAGCAGTGCTGGTGGCCATGGTTCCCATAGTCAGAAGGAGCTTCCCACAGATCCCCCCCTACACAGCATATGTAGGAAATCTACCTTTTAGTACAGTGCAGGGTGACATAGATGTTATCTTTAAGGACCTCAGCATAAAGAGTGTATGGCTAGTCAGAGACAAAGACACAGACAAATTTAAAGGTTTCTGCTATGAAGAATTCGATGAGGTGGATTGTAATGAAGGCTTGACATATGATGGTGCACTCTTGGGTGATCAGTCACTTCGTGTGCACATTGCAAAAGGCAGAAAACAAGATAAAAGTGGCTTTGGATTAAGGAAAGGTGAACCAGGTGACGAAGGCTGTGCTCCTGGATGAAGGCCTCTCCTCAGACTCCCAACGTGTGTGTGTGTGTGTGTGTGTGTGTGCGTGTCCCCGTCTCTGTGCTTCCAATCCTCCTTGACTTTTATAATGAAAATGGGCCTAAAATCTTACACTTTTCACTTGATGAACTGAGTAAAATCTGCAGAGCTGTCAAGAGCCTTCAGAGAGCTGGTAGGTAGCTGTAAGTCACCAGCTCTCCTCTTTAGGACACAGTTGCCTGTTCCCACACTCTGTGTTTGGCATGGACCCAGGGGCCAGGGCTGGGGCCTTTGCTTCTGAGCCCCAACCCCTGTATGTGAACAACCTGGGTCCTTCTGGGTCCCTGTCTATCCCACTGAGAGTAGTTCAGAGCCAGCCAGCAGCAAGAGCCCAGGGAAGAGACCAACTTGGGGGCGAAAGGGGTGCCATGGGATCCCCTAGCCCATGCAGCAGCATGCTTAGGAAGTTGTCCTCACTAGTTGGTATCTTTGGCTTCTTTCACTGTGTCTCTCTCCTGAGGTCTCAGCAACTACAGAGCTCTCTCCTTTCCTTCCTTCACCTGCCACCTGTGTTTCCGAAATAAGAACCATTTGTGTAACACCAATACTTAAGAAAAGAAAGACATGCATTATGTGGTTGTAATCAAACCTGATGCTTTCAGATTACCTACTTACATCTTCAATGTGGAAAAGATTAAGAACAAAACAAATTCATCTATACTTCTGTGCAATCCAGATGACTTTTAAATGTAAGAATGGAATTTCACATTCACTATATGCCAAAAAGTAAATCTATGGATATGATATTTTGTGAATGATCTTTTAAATAAAAGAAAACCTTACATAATATTTAAAACAAATAAAAACAGTATGTTACTGGCATTGAAACAGACAAATAGACCAATGGAACAGAATTGTGAGCCCAGAAATAACCCCACGCACATATGGTCAACTAATATTTGACATAGGAGACAAATATACTCAATAAACCAAAGGCAGCCTCTTCAAAAATGGTGCTGAGATCATTAGATATTCACATGTAAAAGAATAAAACTAGACCCATATTTACAGCACTCACAAACTGACATGAATTAAATCTTACCTGTAAGACCTGAAACCATGAAATTCTTAGACGAAAAGAACAAAACTCCTTGACATGGGTATTGGTCATTATTTTTTGGACATGACACCTAAAGCACCAGAAACAAATTAAAAAATAAATAAGTGGGTAGACATCAAATTAAAACGTTTCTGCATGGCAGAGAAGGACAAATATCATATGTTTGCACGTATAGGAGGATTAGGAGGAACTTGAAGGAGGAACAAGTGGGAGAAGAAGTGTGTAAATGGTGGGGGAAAGGGAGAGAGGCAAACCATGAGAGACTCTTGAATGCTGACAAAAACTGAGGACTGATGGATGTGGGGGGGGGGGGGAGATGGGCATGGAGGAGGACACTTGTGGGGATGAGCACTGAGTGTTATGTGGAAACTAATTTGACAATAAACTATTTGTAAAAAAAAAATTGCTGTGAAATCCCAAAAAAAAAAATGTTTCTGCACACAAAAAAAGAGTCATCAACAAAGTGGACAACCTACAGAACGAGAAAAAGATATTTTCAAACCACTTATCTAATAAAGGA